ATTTCCCTTCCTCCTTCTTCATGCTTTCACATTTCCCAGTCCCCATGTAAATAAAGGCATGAAATTTGTTGGTTTTATTCGCATCCAGTAATGTAGCCAGCTGCTGATTTAGCAAAGTTTTAAAAGAATATGCTCCTCATCAGATTTGCATGAGTTTGTTGCAGTGTCTCTTTCCTGACCTCAGTCAGCTCCTGCCCTTTTCTCAATCTCTTGGTCTCTTTATGCAGTTCTTAATGGAAAATTGAGATTAAATTAACCTGGAAGATTATGCAAATATGTAAACAAGAACTTGTCTTGGAATGGAAATACAAATCCAATTTCTTCTTTTTTTAATACGGATCAACTATATTTTTGTAATGACTTCCTCAAGGTGTTGATGACATTGTCTGACTGTGTCTGCCTTGCTAATATAAATCTATTTGTAATAATATATAGATAATTAAAAATATCTTGCTAAAAGGCCCTTTGTAAAGTAGTCATACAGGACAACTTTTATGGTAAGCAGTAAATGGTGATGGACGTACAGGAGTTGACAGACTCTTATTGTCCCCTTACTGGAAAATGTATAAAATTTCTCATACTATAATCACCAAAGTGTGCAGTGGTTTGCATCAAAGTGTTACCTTTGCCAGTCTGTAACTTAAGAAGCAGAGGCAGAGGGGGGTGTAATGGTATGGTCACTCCCCACATCCAGGCCATGCCATGGGAGTAGCAGGTGAAGCAGGTAAGAATCCACCCCTCCCTTCCCCTCTATACTCAGTGGCACATCTTCCCTCCCTGGCTGCTGCTGCCACTGTCCCAGAGGCAAGGGGAGCTTCAATGCTTCTCCAGTCCTATCCAGTTGCCCACCCACCCAGTCCTCCCAGAGCGTTCCCCTGACAGTTCAGGAGCCAGCTCAGGGTGTTGTGGGTTGGTGGTTTGGTTTGGGGTTTTTTTTTCCTTTTGGCAGGGGGGCGAGCCTGCCTGCTGTTAGTTTTCCCAGCTGAGCCCAAATAGATCCCCACTCAGCCTGGCTAAAGTGGGGCAGAAGCTCCCCTTGCCCCCAGGACAGTCAGAGAGAGTATCAAGTGGGACAAGGGAAAATGGGAGGGTATGGGACATGCCACTGAGCACAGAGTGAGAGGGAGTGGGTGCTGGGGACAGGGAGGATTTTGGGACTTTAATTTTAAAAAAGGCTTTAATTTGGGGGGGGGGGGGAAG